CTGCTTATTAGGAATTGCCTCACTCTCCTTCCTATCTTCTGTCTTCCAAGAGTAGACTTTCACACAATTTCACATGGGTTCAACCTTAATCAATCCTAAGGAAGGCACGTCGTCAATTTGACTGTTTTTTATGCTGTCGAACTGGAGTCATTTTGTATTTACGAGATCAATAAATAATTCAGTTTTCCGTTTTGTGATGACAATTAATTATTAAAGGGTGTGCTCCTGTAAAGATGTGATGGTGTGTGTGTGTGTGTGTGTGTTTGTGTGTGTGTCGCAGTTTAATAGCACTGTTGCCATTACACGTGTGAACCCAGCATCTACAGTACCCACCAGAAATATCGGCATCCAGATAAGCTGAAATGGCTGTTAATAATGTAATTGTTGTTTATCACCCTGAATACACTCAAAGTATGACTGAATCCTAACAATAATCGAGGTTAATAATTGGTATTGTTAATACTAACTAGGATCTAGTTAATACTAGATCCTAGTTGGTATTGTTAATACTAACTAATACTAACTGGGGAGAAGCTCGGAATTGAACCCAGGACATCATACATACAAAGCATGCACTGTACAACTGAGCTACCCACTCCACCGAAAATACATCAAGAAATCAAGAAAGAAATATTATTCTCAAGATGGAATAAGATATGAAATAACACAAATGTATAGATTAGGAAAAGGCTAGAACATAATGTACACTCTTTTGGACATCCTAGCATATTCAGGAAGCTGCATCACAGTACCCACACACTGCCAAGAAAAGTCTGTCACTCAAACCTCAACACTCAAACAAGAGACCCGTGAGAAGCCCCAAAGAGGACAATCACTTGAATGAGCTACAGAGTTCACTGCTGGACGTGGAGTAATGCTGCACCAATAAAAAAAATTGAAATTAATGATTCAATAATCGTCATTAATCATTTGTGGTGCAAATCTAATATTGCCCTTGCCTCAAGATGCACCATCACTACAGTGAAGTTTGGAGGTGGCAGCATCATGGTGTTGGGGTGTTTTTTATCAGCAGGTACGGAGCATCTTTTTACAGTTGATGTAAGAATGTAAGACAGAATAATGCAAGAGAACAATATAAAAAAGTCTTCCCTAAAAAACAGAAGGTTGGGTAGTAATTTACCTTTTAGCAAAAATATTATCCCAAGCACAACGCCAAAGAAAACTTTAAAGTGGCAGAAGAACAAAACAAAGCATCTTACAGTGGCCCATTAAAAGTCCATAATCAAAGTCAAATCTTACCCATCAATTATCTGTGGCATTTTCTGAGACTTGCGTCTTACAATCGTCATTCGACCAACCTGAACAACCAAATGCCGGGAGGAAATGCTTACGCAAACAACATATTTCCATTTTATACTTTTCTTACTAATATTTCCTAATATTTGGTGATGTTATCAGGCTATGTTCCTTCCAAAGGCCCTGAGAAACTTAAATAGATGGAAACAAATGAAAAGCAATCAAACGGCCCATTAAACCCATTAAAATGAATTTAAAATGATTATTTGCGATTAATGCGTATGTATATCCTCCTGTCAGGGGCCACGGCTACACAGTTAAATGTCGCAGGGTGCTGCCCTTCTATACAAACACCAAGAGAATGTAAACACAACGCAAGTCTGTTTTTCCTGATTTGCTTGTAATTTTTTTCCGGCGTAAAACAGTGCAGTTTTCACCTGAACAGATGAGCCTTGGGGTGGGGTATCACCACCATGTTGGCAAGCTCAGATCTGATTCCAGCCACATCCACTCTAGGGGCCTTGTTCTACTTCAGTGAGAAGTTGAATATTAAGAGACCACCAAGTGGGATGGCATTGAAATCAAAGGCTTAAAGCCTGAGGCATATTGCCAACCCCTCCGGGGCTCTGCTAACTACTCTTCACAGTCTCTAGCCTTTATGGTGCACCAGGCAAGCTAGTTACTGACCTACTCCTCGATATGTTCTCTACATTTTGCCACCCCATACTCGTTCAATGTTCAACGTTGTTCGGTGTTTAAAGTCCTAACCTTCAGTTTGGATTGAAAGCAAGACGGTTTGAGAGCCGTGGTTTACCTTGTAGTAGAGTTTACCCTGGAGGATCTGAAGTCATCTGATTTAAGTGCACAGTGTAGGTGCGTTGTTGCACTGAGAACGTGTGATATGAAAAGGATCTAGTCTTAAGCAATGGGCCAAGCGTCACGACACACTGACTGGCACATTGAGATAAAGCGTCACGACACACTGACTGGCACATTGAGATAAAGCGTCACGACACACTGACTGGCACATTGAGATAAAACGTCACGACACACTGACTGGCATATTGAGATAAAGCGTCACGACACACTGACTGGCATATTGAGATAAAGCGTCACGACACACTGACTGGCACATTGAGATAAAGCGTCACGACACACTGACTGGCACATTGAGATAAAGCGTCACGACACACTGACTGGCACATTGAGATAAAGCGTCACAACACACTGACTGGCACATTGAGATAAAGCGTCACAACACACTGACTGGCACATTGAGATAAAGCGTCACAACACACTGACTGGCTCATTGAATAAAGCGTCACGACACACTGACTGGCTCATTGAATAAAGCGTCACGACACACTGACTGGCTCATTGCACTTTTAAACAGTCCTGAGCAACGACACCTCATTCGTGGTTGATGTGTGACTCCTCAGAGCAGCCGTCTGCTGAATGCCTGATTAATTCTGTGGCTTCATCTTCCTGATCACTCACCGTGTCACATGGGCCTGCGACCCTGACAGCACCCTAATGAGCAGGCTGCTGTGTTGGAAAAAAAAGCCCCCTAAACATCGACGACGATCTGATCTCGCCCCGATGTGCCTGCGCCAGATTTATCCCGCTGACATTTGCATAAATTGAAAGCTACTCATGAGATATTGCCAACAATGCAGATTTGGCAGATTGGGCAGCGGGGCGACGGCTCAATTTGATTTGTTAAAATGATTAATTTAATCATCCTGCAGAAAGTTCCTTAATGAAATCCCTGCTTTAAGTTTTTGATTAGTGCAGGGTGATCTAGAGTACAGGTACACCTGCGTGACTGAAATGCTGCCGGTGAATTAAAGAATGTGTTTTTTGGCGAACTGGGAATAGCTTGTGTGGTTATCTGGGCTGTAATGGGATATGTATTCAGAACCATACTATACCAAATAGGCGACGGCTTACAGGTAAATAGTTAGCTACACTATATTGACTGCGTTATGAACTAATATGATTGAGTTGATCCGTTTAAACGGGCATGTTATCATGAAAGTTAGAATAATCGTTGGCTCCGCTATTGTCCAGATATTGTTTTGTGAGTGGACCTTGAGCTGGTTCGACAAGTGCTTTTAATAACATGTATTCAATAAGTCTTGGGAGCAAAAACGATAGATATATCATATACATAAAATATATGTCACAAATAACTTTTGTTAAATATTGCATGCACACCAATTTGCACTTCACTGAACCCTATAACCTAACTTAGATCCAGACATTCTTGAACCAAATATCTCAACACCTGGTTACGAGAAGCTGGATATTTTCAGGGAATTTTTTGAGCTATTTCTGGAATCACCAGATCGATGAAGAGATAACATCCCTGACTTCTTTGGGGAGTGAGAACCAACAGTAACTGCATATTTATAATGACCACTCAACTAACCACAGGAGACAAGAGAGGACAAGTCACTCATACACTCAGATGACGCTCAAAATACTTGTCTGGGCTCAGTCATTGGCGCGAGCTTAGATGAAATGCACACGGTATCTGTATCCTTTCAATGTAAGCTCACAGAACCAGGCTACCAAATACCTCTTACGATTACAAGTAAGGCTGAAAAAACATACCACAATTCCTTATCTACCCTGGATACTATTACTATTAAAAGTCAGGCATCATATTAGGTGAAGTCGAATTAGACTTTTTTGCCATTTTGTCTCAGTTGCAGCTGCAAATGGTTCTCATGCAGTCTATGATGTCACCTGAAACCCACAGCAAAGTCTCATCTTTCGTGGCCAACAAGATAAGAATTGAATCAATAAGACAGTTCAAATCATATGCATGTATATTTACCGGTGGCTGGTGGGAACCTCAGCCCCAAAGATAGACCAGGAGATCCAGGATTAGGATATAAACTGCATTTAAAAATATAGAAAATGTACATAGTTTCAATGTGAAATATGTAGTTTATTAATAATTTAAAATAGGATAAAGCTTTCAATGACATTCTTTTTTTTGTAGAGCATTTAATGAAGAATAACTGATGCCACAAATATTATGTTCTAATCACAGCAGATGAGACTACAGACATTTCAAGCAGTAAAGTACAGTAAGAAGAAAATTTGGTTGGAGAATCTGAGACCAAGTGGAAGAAGATGCTATTTTATAATATGACCAAACTAGAGCTTTTGGGCCTCAATGCTTAGCGCTACGTTCGGTGAAGGCATAACACAGCACATCTTCCTGACGACACTATTCCTACCTTAAGGATCTTGGGTGGCAGCATCATGCTATGGGGATGCTTTTGCAAAATGGATATGAAATACAAATACATCCTAAAGCACTGTAAGTCTGTACTATGTTTGGTTCCTAGACATCTATTCGGTAAACCAGTGGTATTCACCAATACATGAATACTAAATATACTGGGAGATAATAAAATAATAATACTAATACGTGACATTTTGGGTGCCTTTCAGGATACCCAAGGACACTGAACAATAGAATTCAAGCTGTAGACCAGGCTAAGCCGTGGGAAAAGCTAACCTAAACAAATCAGTCTTGAGACTGTTTTGTAAAATGCTGATTGAGTCTGAGTTGCGTGTTGCTGAAGGGAGAGAGTTCCACAATTTTGGGGCAGCAGCACTTAACGCCCAATCCCCCATAGAACAAAGTAAATGATGTTTCCTGTCGTATGTTAACGCTGGGGTGAGGCTCCAAACAGGGAAACTTTGATCTGTAAAGACCTGTTCCAATTAAACAAATAAAACATAGGCTTTTGTAGTTTCATTTTACTGATACTGTATTTATGTCAGTCCTTCTCATCTTGTTTTAGCGGTGCAGTAAATTGTTTGCTTTGAACTTTTGAAAAGTGGAGAGGGTGAAAGTACATTTATTGACCTACTGTACTTGGTCCCTGGATGTTGGTGCGGTGGTGAAGTGAAAACGGACACCCTGACAATGTTTACAGCAGATGCTCTTTTATCAGGTATATGATGCTTCCAGGTGGACCTCAAGCATTAGGATGTTTAACTGTTGCCAATTGATACCAAAGTGTGTCAAGACAGCAAAATGTAAGAATAGATATTCCCCCGCAATTGTGCTCAAGAGAAACCGAAATGCTACATGCTACATGCAAGAGCTTAAAATATTTTAGTCACAGTTCATATAGGAAAGGCATTAGACATGAAACAAACACTTTAAATTTTTTTGTGTAAGTTGGGAGAAAGGGTGTCAGACACAGTTTTAATTAGGAAGTCATAAGACATCAAACAAACACTTTACTTTGTTTAGTGTACGTTGGGAGAAAGGGTGTCGGACACAGTTTATATAAGGAAGTCATAAGACATCAAA